AGGAACTGACACAAAGTAAAGAAAGAAGAACCAGGAAATATATGCAAATATCTCCTGGTTTTTCTTTCATTACTGTGGTCACTCCCTCTACCACCCCCTCTATGCTTCCATAAATAGTCATACAGAGTTTTTATAACCAAAATATTAACAAGTGTTTGACTAAAATAGTGATGAGGTTCTCTAAACTCAGCTAGATAATGGTTCTTAGATGACAAAAAATTAGTCTATCAGTGGACCCATACACCAAACTTTTATCAAAACAAAGAGCTGGAAGAGACCCCAGATGCCAACCCATACATGAACAATGATTTCTCTACATAATAAATGGCCATTGAGCTTTTAAGATCTCTGCTAATGGGGAGCCAGCTAACTCCTACGCAGCCCATTTCATTTTTAGATAGCTCTAATTGTCAGGAAATTTTTCTGCACCATGAACTGATATTGGTCTCCCTAAATCTTCTATTATTACTCCTAGTTTTGGGGCAGAGCAAATACAAGAATAATCCCTCTTCAACAAATATTTAAAAATAGCTATTATGTCCCTACCTAAGTATTCTCTTCTCCAGGCTATCCCCAGAACCTTCAACTGATGTTTGTATGATATTGAGAGAAATTATTATTTCTCCCTCATATTAATAATCAATTATTAAATTAGGATCAGGATTTTTTCAAAAGCCTCTAGGTTGTCCAGTCTCTGAAGGACATTGTTTATAAAGACATTGCATTAACTTTCTCCTCAATCTTGTTTGGACCTCACCTAACCTAACCAGGAATTTAATCTAAGGTGGAGAAGCCCATTGTGCTCTACACTGGTATGGGTGGGGATAAATTCTTTGATCAGATTGCCCAAGGCTGGGCAGTTTAGAAATAAATGACATAATCAAAGTTACAGACTCACCCACCCCAACCCCGTATTAGAATAGGTCCACCTCTCATTATAATATTCTATCTCACTGTTAACCAGAGTGGACCACCAACTCAGGAACACCCCCTCTTCCAAGGGCATATAAACTGTGAGTCTAACACCATGAGAGGTCTTTGGCATTCGAGAGTATCACTGACCCATTTTATTGGTAATATGTTAGCATTATTAATAAAATTATTAATTACCTAGAAATTATGTCTCTCAAACTTTTTAACTGTATGATCTTGAGACCTTTTACTATCCTAGTTGCCCTCAACTAAAGTTGAGAGTCAGACACATATAATCAAAGGTTTAGATCTGGAAGGGATCTTAGATGTCACATAATCAAAAGATCATAGATTTAGAATTGTAAGGGACCTTAGAAGTCATCTAATTCAATCCTCTAAATTTACAAGATGAAAAATCGAGTCCCAGAGAGTGATCCAGTCTGATACGTGATAAACAGCCGAGCCAGGAATTGAATACGGATTCTTTGACACCAAATATAGAATTCTTTCCACTGTACACTATGGATGCTCTTGACACTTTTGAACTTATCAAATTATCTACTTCAATTCATAAATCAGCTTCTAAAATGTGGTATCCTGGAACTCTGCTCTGAAGTGAGCAGAATACAGTAGAACTGTCATCTCACTGGCGCTAGACATTATGCCTCTCTTTATGCAGCCCAAGACTGTTAGATTTGAGAAACAGTAACACTTAGGGAGTACAGGGCCTGCCTTGGAGTCAGAAAGACCTAGGTTCAAGTCCTACCTCTGATACATAATATCTGTGATCATGGCAAGATATTTAATCTCTCAGAGTCCCCAAACAGCCTTCTAAAATTACAAGTTACAGATGAATAGCTGATCTGCATTAGTGTCAGGAATTTCCATATCAGGCATCTCCTACATGGAGTAGAGGGGACAGTACTGATGAGGTGCCATGGTCATATAGTGTTATAGGGAATTCTCTGTGTTATAGGCACAACCACAGCTCTGTCACTGTGGAGAAGTATGTTTCTCCTTTCTTTGAGGTAGCTAAGTGGTACATTGCTGGATTTGGAGTCAGGAAGAATTGAGTTCGAAACCAGCCTCAGATATTTATTAGCTATGTGGACCTAGGCATACCACTTAACATCTCTGGGCCTTAGCTTCCTCATCCTTATAATGAGGGAATTGTATTTGATAGTCTCTACAATCCCTTCCAGCTCTAAATGTTTGATTCTATGAAATCCCAAGGATGGACCCCAAAATAAAAATAAAAATCATTATTGATTCATAATATAGTCTGCTAAAACCCTCAGATCTTTTTTCAGATGCACTGCTGCCATGGCACTTCTCCATGTAATGATCTTGCTCTTATACCTGTTCAGCTAACTTTCTGTAGCCAAGTGAAAGATTTTACATTTCCTTATTAAATTTTATCTTATTAGATTCAGCCAACATCTTGGCCTCTAGAGATGTTTTTGGATTCAGACTGCCATCCAGCCTATTAGCTATTTCTCCTAGTGTCATCTGCAAATCTTGACAAATATGCTATATAGAACCTCTTTGCAAATCATTAATAATTCAAGTTATTTTTGGCTTAGTAGGACATTCTAGAGCTTTTGCTTTGTAGCAGAGCTTTCAAGAACCCATTGTTACTTCTTTGCTGCTATAAGGCACCAAAGAGGGACTTTAATGGAATAAATAAAGCTGTAAAGCAAGATTAATGGATCAGGACCTAGTTTGTTCCTGTTTCTCCTATAAGAGTCAAGGGACCAAGGCCATAACTTAAGCATACAGTCCTCACACATATAGTAACACTCCATTGATCCAAAGGTCATACAATCAACTTTACCCTCCATAACACAAGCCCTGATTATGAAGAAAGTCTCTGAACATTTACAATAACTATCATGAAGCCCATTCACTAAAAATTTTCATTCCCATAGGAGACATCATTAGAGAATTTCACATGGATGTATGCAATAATCTGCCTAGTTTCCTGTAACTGCATTCTTATGACTTTCAAGTCTAGGGCCAAGTTTATAAAGCTCTCAGGCACAACCTTTCCCTATACTCTTTAAACAATCCCATTCCTAGCTAGAGGGAATTTAAGAACTCCTAGGCTATTAATGCATTGGGTGACCTCTGTTGCTCATCTCAATCTGACCATGTACTCTATTTCCAATTTACTGGGTTCTTACCTTGTTCTCTATAACCTCCACTGCCTCATAGCCATTCCAGTAATTAAGAGCCTGATTTATGTCCTTGTGACTGACTCCCTGGCTTTGATTGCCTGACTAGTACCCAGTTCTTCCAGGGCTAGGGTCCTGATTCCTAGAGAAATCTAGTTCTTCCAAAGGCTGAAATCTTGTCCCTAAACCTCTACTACCATGCTTCTGTAACAATGACTACCAGCCTGGCTGCATTCAGCCAGGCCTGATAAAAACTGGGAATGGAGCCTCCAGTTCTGCCTGACCCCTCCCCATGTATCCAATTTTTATATGTATTTATATATATAAACACATATATACATATCACAAATGTGTACGTATATATAACACACACACACACACACACACCCCTTTTTTCCCCTTTCAAAGACATCTCCTTTCATAGTTGTAGAATATATTCATAGGCAGTCTAATTTGTGTCAACATAAGTAAAAAATATAGAAAACATGGAGTTGGGACAAATGAGGGGTTTTCTAGAGGGAGGTAAAACGGAGAACAGTGAGAAATAACAGCTGTCTGTAGCCAGTCTAACAAGAAAAATAGATGTCAGACCTTGAGTTACCATGAGATGTTTAAATTTTGCTGATCTTAATTTCCTCTGTTCAAGAAGGATGGCTTACAGTTTATATTTTCTGCCAATAAAGGTTAAAATAGACAAAAGAAAGGTAAGTTCTAATTCTTAATACTGTTTAATGATCACATAAAGGAGTCCTTATTGCACTGCCTTTGCTTGGCTGTAATTCACCATGCTTTCACATCCGTGTTTCTTTTGGGACACCCTTTTGTGGTTGTTGCTTTTCCAGTCCCCCATTAGGTCTTAAGCTTTTTATTTCCTTTCTAAATCTCCCCACAGCAGTTAGCACAGTCCTCCAGGATTTATAAGTGCTGTGCTGACTGGGCGCTAAACAAATGCTGACTTCACTCATGAGTTTCTCCGAGGCTCCAGTTTCTGGAGTGGGAACCATCCATCTCCCAAGCCTTCTTGCTTAAGCTAACCTCGCCCCGTGAAAAATGGAAGAATGCCCTTTATAGTAATAATAGCACTTATACCATTTCGTGGTGCCAAGCATCAAGGCGAGGGCTGAAGGTGGTGTTGCCCAGGCCCAGTGGCAGCTTAAAGAATTTGGGAAATTATTTTAATAGCCATAATGCCTCCCTCCACCCGGGTCCCCCCGCAGTGCCTCGAAGATGCCAGGCCGGCTCCGCCAGCGGCACGTGCCCGACAGCTGGTGGTCCACGGCCCGCCCCAACCCACGGAAGTAGCCATGGCAACTCAACGCTCTAGGTGGGCTCTGAGTCGGTGGGGTTGGAGGCCAACATACGTAGAATCCCTGGAGGAGGAGGAGGAGGGGGAGGAGGAGGAGGGGGAGTAGGAAGAGGAGGAGGAGGAGGACAGCGGCTGCCAAGGGAAAACCAACACAGAGGAAGGTGTTGGTTAGTGCCAGAGCCCAAAGCGTGGGCCCATCGGGGAGCCAGAAGGAGCCTAAGGCAGGTTTGGGGCTAGGTGCGCCTGCGCAGAGCAAGCTACAACCAGCAGCAACTTCACCATCAAAGGGGCGGAGGTGCTCGCCGGCGGTAAAAGAGCACCTACTCTCGCTTTCCCTCCCTCCCCTTCCAGACGGGTGCCCTAGGGGCGTTTCCTCACCCAGAGGACTACCGCCCTCCAGACTGCAGGTGGCGCTGCAGGCGAGACTGAAGGGTTGGGGGAAGGGGGAATGAGGGAAAGTGCTGCGAGCGTCTTAAACCCAAAGTTTGCGCGTGCGCGATCTCAATTGCTTTCCCTCCCTCTTTCTCCCTTTTTTTTCTCTCCCCCCCCCACCCCGGGCCGCCCCGGCGGCTGCGTAGTAGCTGTGGGATGGGAAGTGAAGTCCCTGCGAGCGGCTGTGGCGGGGCTGAGAGCAGCAGCCAGGGGGAGGGGACAGAGGCGGTAGCAGCAGCCCCAGCAGCAGCAGCAGAGGCTTGCCGTTGAGGAAGAGCACAGCAGGAGCATCAGCAGGAGCGGCGGCGCAGGAGGAGGAGAGGAGGGGGAAGGAGAGGACAGGGACCGGCCCTCACTATGGCTATCCGAAAGAAAAGCACCAAGAACCCTCCCGTCCTGAGCCACGAATTCATCCTGCAGAATCACGCCGACATCGTCTCCTGTGTGGCCATGGTCTTCCTGGTGGGGCTCATGTTCGAGGTGAGACGGGCAGATACACACCCCCTCGGCCCCCACCCCCTGCGCGCCTCCCGCCCAGCGGGGAGCTCCCCCGCCCCATCCTCCTCCTTTCTTCCCTGCTGGGGTTGACAGTTTCCCCCCTGCCCCGTCCTGAGGGAGCTGCGGACAGAACCCCCCTCCCCTGACCCCGAGGTGTATGGGCCGCATCTCTCTGTCTTCCCCCCTCCCAGGAAAAAAAAGGGGGGGATGCAGCTTCCTGCTCCCCCACCATCCTGCTGGGGAGCCCCGGAGCGGGGCAGCGGCGCGGGAGGCAAAAGGAGGGGAAGAGAAAGCCGCTTCTTCGGCCTCGGGTTTTTCGTCACTTTGCCGGGCGGGAAGGGGAGCTGGCGTTCTGGGGCCGGCGCCCCCTCTTCCCCTCCCCCCCTTCTCCTTCTCCTTCTCCTCCTCCTCCTCCCGCCCGCGTCGACGCCGCCGCTCAGTTCCTGGTTCCCGCGAAGGGTTACGTGGCAGTGAGCGAGGCGCTGGGGTCGGGGGCGGCCCCTCGTCGGAGGGGAGGGGGCGGGCGGAGGGGATGAGCCCCCCCCCCGGGCCCGGCGGCTGCCTGGAGGCGGGGTGGGGGGTGTGCTGGAGAGGGAGCCGGGAAAGCCGAGCGAGCGGAGCAAGGCCTCTCGGGAAATGTGTCCCCCCCTCCTCGGGGCTGGGCGGAGGGGCGGCCTCGCAGAACTACAAGCCCCATGCGGAGCTGCCCCTTCCAGCCCCTGCTGCGCGGCCGGCTGGAGACGTGTCCATCTGCGAGCGGAGCCCGAGCGGCGGGCGCTGTGCGGGGCTGGTGCGGGGCTCAGCGGGGGCCGCGGCGGGCGGGACTCCGGCTCGGGCTGTACGCACATCACTCCCTTCGTTGTCTGCGGGCGTTTGGCTTTAGTTTCGTTTAGTAAATGCTTGTCCACCTCAATGCGGATTTCGTCCACTAGGAGACCACTGACGTGCCCTGTCACAACATAATCAAATTAATTAGAATGGCCCGAATAGGCCAAAGAGTGAAATAGTTTTGGTCCCTGGGGAATTAGACGACAGGAAATTCTGCGACTAAAGGATGGAGAGGTGCAAGCGACCTTACAAAGGCGCTCCCCACCGATGGGGTATTCCGATGGATTATTTGACTTGGCATTGAGTGGCTATTATGAAACACAATGGACGTTTAAAACTTGGCAAGTGAAGATACAGTATCTTCAGTACTTTTAACATTTTTTGTTTAGGTTTGAGGAATCGGTCTGATTTGTATGGGACCCAGCAGAAATTGAACTCACCATTTTCTTTTAGTGTTCTTGTGTAACGTCTGCAACATTGGAAAATAGTAGAGAACTCAAATACAAAAGCTTGGGCAGCAGATGGAATAAGGTCTTGGCAATAAAGAAACATCTATTTAAAATTTAAAAGTCAAGAATCTCAATTCTTAACTACTTTCCTTTAACTACCTGTTGAAATCTTCCATGGTATCCTTACCCCTTAAATGTTGCGTTTTCTAAGACACCCTCCCTGTTCCACCCTCTCCCAAAGCTCACTGCTGGGTTTCAAACTTCATATTAAAATTACTTACATGTGAATTATATTTCCCTTCTAGATTATGAACTCCATGAGCTCAGGAGCCTTACAAATCATCCTTGAATCTCTCTTAGCACCTACCACATAGATACTTAATAAATAGAATATAATAGTTTAAAGTTTTAAAGTTCTTGTTTTCTTATATTACTATTGTATAGGTACTTCCTAAAAATTTTTTGCCTCCAAAATTTTCTAGAACTTAGATTGTTTATTCTTAACTTTATTGCTGTATTACTTAATTCCACAGTATTAATGCAAAATTAAATGATTATCTAATATGTTTAATGTTAGTAATTATGCTTAGGTTTCATGTTTTTGTGCAGTTTCTGGTTTCCTACTGATAAAGCTTAACTTGCAAATAGCATATTTGAATAAAATCAAGGGAGATTATCATAGTTTTGAATGAGATATAGGCAAATTTAGAAACCAAAGAGTGTACGGAGATTGGTAAGATTATACTTTTATGTGAAACATTGTTTCACATTCTTTTCTACATAGCTTTCTGTTGATAAGAATTCACGTAAGAATTTGCATAGTGTACGTTGAGTAATTTTTAAAATAAGGGTAAAATATTTTTATTTATAAATTTGAAGGGTTTTTAAAATATTAGTATGGAACAATAAAAGTGCTAAACATGTTTTTAGGATAAATTCAGGACACCAGACTTATGTATCATACAGACAAGGTATAGTTTTTTTACCGTATGTTAATAGTTCAGGATTTTGAATTGTACTATAAAAGCAAATGTCACAGGATTCATGTTGATACTATTAAGATAATAGCAAATATTTTACTGGTTTGTGCGCAACTCATCCGAATAGATGAGAAAAAGATTAGCATATTGGAGAGAAGGGAACCTGTTGGTAGTTACTAGAAAGGAAGGAGAAAGATTGGCCCTTATTTCCTGTGCTTTTGATCTGATCCTAGCCCCTTTTGTGTTTTGCTGCATTAATATTCCCACCCCATCCTCCCCACCCTCATCTACCCAAGCATCTTCCATCGCTCCCTTCCTTCCCCGTCTCTATTAGCTCTTTTTCTGTCTTCAGACATCCATGTTTGGTCCAACTCTCCTGTCCTAAGAATTACTTCCACTAATCCTCCCACAAGCCCTTCGAGTTACCTTCTCTGTCCTCTGGGGTACTTTAAAAAGTGCAATCAGTGACAGTTTATACAGAATGAACATGGAGAGCTAACAAAAACCTTTCAAATACAGTGGTCAGTGTTAATAACTATACTATCAAAAATAAAACTCATAAACATATCAACTCATAAACTCAAACTTATCAACTCATAAACATGGAAAGGGGCATGCTCTTAATCCACTAGGGATCTGTTTGGTTCTTTGTTGGGAAGTGTCAGTATCCAAACAATGTGTCATGGTTTGGTTTGGTTTTGTTGCTTTAAAGAAAGCAAATGTGGGCAGTGTGATATAGGAAAAACTATTCAGAAAAGTAAATGTTGAAGGTGGTTTGGTGTTTACAGGATTAATGTGCTAACAGACATTTTTTTTCCTACATTCTTAATAGAGGATTGAGGGTGCATTCTTTCTTTTGCTATAAAAGAGCCATCTACATTCAAAACCTCTTATTTCCTCACCTATTACTTAGTCCTCCTATAAAATCCTCCCACCATCCAACTGAAACCACCTTCTCCACAAAGATGATCATAGTAACATCCTAAATGCCTGATGCAATGACATTTTCCTAGTCTGCATCCTCTCTGAATTCTCTGCCTATTTGACACTATTGACCATTCACACAAATATCTTAATTTCATCATGCGCAAAATCTTTCATGGAAAGACAGGGACTGGACAAACCCTACAAGCTAGGTGGTTTTGGAACTAGTTGAATGGCTAGAACCTACAAGTAGTCATTAATGATTTAATGTCGTCTTGGAAGGAGGCCTCCTCTCTGAGTTCCCCAGGGACCTGTACTGTTCTAACATTTTTAACAGTGACTTCGATAAAGGCATTGTTGTAATACCAGATTTTCAGATGGCACCAAGCTGGGAGGAGGAAGAAGCAACCCAGGTGTTAGATTGTATCAATGGTGTAGAGACAGCAGGATGAATTTAATAAAAATGCAACGTCTTACAACTAGACTTTTTTAAAAAATTGGTGTCACAAGTACAAGATGGGAGGCATGGTTGGATAATTAGTTGGTTTGAAAAAGATCCAGGAGTTGTAGACTGCGAGTTCAATATGTGTCAGCAGTCTGTAGGATCTTAGCTTACTTTAACAGAGGCATAGCCTCTAGGTCTAAGTAGACAGCAGTGCTGCTCGCTTCTGCTTTGGTCAGATCATACCTGAAATAACAGGTGCCACATATATGATAGGTGTCAAGGTAGGTGGTACAATGAATAGTGTTGGGCTTGGAGTCAGGAAGATCATTGGAATCCTGACTCAGAAACTTACCAGCTGTGTGACCATGGGCAAGACATGTAGCCTCTCAGTCTCAGTTTCCTCATCTGTAAAATGGGTATAATAATAGTATGTACTTTACAGTATTGTGAAGGTCAAATGAGATAACATTTTGCAAACCTAAAAGTGTCAAATACTAGCTATTATTATAAGCCAAAAAGTATTCAGAGATGGATGATCAGGATAAGCCGTGACCCCGAGCTCATGGCAAATTAAGATAAGATCAAGGAATTGGGAGTGTTTAGAGCAGGACTTCTTAAACTTTTTCCACTCTTCTTGACTCCTTTAGCACTTCTTAAACTGTGGGTCGTGACTCTATGTGGGGTTGTGACCCACAGTTTAAGAGCATTGGTTTAGAAAAGATAGCTGTTTTCAAATATTATGAAGGCTGTCATATGGAAGAGGGATTCAATTTTGTTTGACTCCTAGAGTGCAGAACTGGAGGGCAAATTGCAGAGACTGAAATCAGCTCTATGTAAGGAAAAACTTCCTGACAGAGCTATCCCAAAGTAGAAGAGTCTGCTTTGAAAGGTAAAACAGGTTCACAGAATTGTAGGTTTAGCAATAGTAAGGACCTTAGAGGTTGTGTAATCCAACCCTCTCATTTTACAGAGATCAAACTTGTAGGCCTACAGAGGTTAAGTGATGCCCACGATCAGTAAGTGGCAGAGCCAGGATTTGAATCTGGGCCTTCTGGCAACCAATCATCTATTTACCTAAGGTTAAACCAGTAATGAGGGACAGGAATTTGAACCTGAGTCCTCTAATTCCACCACTACAACACTCTAGAGATCTTAAAGCAAAGACTGTGGATGACCACTTGAAAAAGTATGTTGTAGAAGGTATTCTTGTTCATGTATGCTTTGAGCTCATTGGTCACCATGGTTCCTACCACCTCTGAGTACATCTGACTCTATATTTACAGTTATCCCTTCCGCATTGAGATTTTCCCCATAGCAGTTTCTGTATATCTTGGGTCGGCAAAAGAAATGGGAATT